ATACAATCAGATAGATTTGAACTTGCCCCAGCATGTGCTTTCTCAGGGATCGAAGCGTTTCCCACACGACTTTTGGCTACCGTAAGACAAGTCTCTCGGCGTGGATGTCCTAAGCTTAGCATTTCGAATCTTCTTGTAAAACAGCAATCTTCCTGTGTGTTACCTGCTGACAAAGAGAGTGGCTTTGTCATGTTAAAGAGTACCTAGAAAAAGCTTCTCACACAGTTTTGGCCCTTTTTAACTATCACACTCAAGTGTTAGTGAAAAAGATCGCAAGTTAAATCTTGTAAGCACACATAAGAACATGTGAACTACCAAAAAATATTTCCTTGAAGCCTTCTTTAGCATGAAAACACACAAGGTCGGCATGCCTTTTAGGCTAATAGTATCTGAAAACCTGGCAAAAATGTGTTGTGCTCTACCTGCAGAAAACCTTGAAATGCCTGAAAGTGAATGATCTGTTTCTGGTAGAAAGTTCATGTGAAGCACAAAATTTTATTTCCTTGCGTTGGAATAAGAGTCCCCACGCCTTTTCTGTACAGCAAAATCTTGGTATAACAAACTTCAAAGGACCGTGGCAATTTGTTTGTCGTTATAGGTTGTTAAAGGTCATTATAGTGAAAGGCCAAAAGTTAATCATAAATACTTATTTTCCACCGACGAAAACGACACCTTCACAACAATGGCTCCTTGAACTCGTTTTTTACGATAAAAAACAAATGCGCAAGTGAATACCAAAAAATGCAGGTTTCCTTAAAGTGTGATTTTTGTTTTTTTTGACGCGTGCAACACAAATTTTGCAGCACGAAGACACCCAGCTCATCCCCATTTTCCACTTTCTCCTTAGCAAAAATTGCTTCCACTTCTTCGCCGCAAGCAGAACGATGAACTTATTGTAGTAGCGCCGCAGCGCGAACGCCGACTTGCTTTGTGGACGCAATAAGTATTTACCGCAAAAATGAACATGACTGAGCATGCCTTTGGCCTCCTAGATCACATATAGAAGTGACAAAGATAAGAAAAGCCCGAAGCATCGTGGCTTTCATCGCCTCTGCCGAAGAAAAGAAAGAGCTAAAAAATGACCGCAGTTTCCTGAGTGGGAACACTGGTTAGCATGCGGAGCATATATGTTGAACTGCGATAAATGTGGTTTGCAATTTGCCACATGCGTGTGTGTTATGAGTGAACACGAGTGAACACACACGTACGTATGCTGCGAAAGACGATGTTTATTGACGAGACGCTTTGGGAATTATGAGCAAGATGGCTTTATGGTCCGTAAAGTGAAGGGTGAGTGGGTCTGGTTGCAGCGGTCGAAGGTCGAAATTTGCAAAGACGTGGTCAATACACGTTTCGCGAACAGTGGTTGGATGATGTTTGCCGTCGTACATTGCTCGTTTCAGCCAGTGCCGCGACTCCATGTAGTCGACCACCCAATCGTCCTTGATGATGTCAACGTTGAAGTCGCCAACTATCACGAAAAGTGGACGTTGCGGTCGTTGTTTCAGGTATTATTCCATGTCTTCCTCGACGTAGTTCTCCACAGCGGCACGCGATAGGTTGGGCGCGAGGTACATCGTCATGACGTCGACTCCGCAGACACTAGTGACGCAGTGCTCGCCGTTGGCGCGTTGTTGAGCGCCGGGCCGCAGTTGAAGGTCTTCGACGAAGTAGACGTCACGCTTGACGTAAATTCCCACGCCGCCCACAGGTCGTTGGAACCTGTGCTTGCACGCGGCCGGAGCGTATCCCGCAAGTCAACGTCATCGGTGGCGTTCCATACCTCGGTGAAGCAAAGCACGTCCACTCTGCGGAGTACGGGGTCTTGCACGACGTCACTCGCGTGAGCGCCCAGCGACCTGGTATTGAGCAGTGCCAGGGTGAAGTGGGACTCGGAGTCAAACTCGGAGCCGATGCTTACGCCTCGCAGCGGCTTTGCGTTCTCGAAGCTGGGAATCTTCCACTCGACGTTGACGTATCGCAGCAGCTTCGTGTTGGGGATCCTCCGCTTGACGCTGACGTCTCGCAGCTGCTTCACGTTTTCAGAGCTGGGGATCTTCCGCTCGCGCCGATGTTTGCGTTCCACATCGCGATCTCTTCTCAGCACGGCCTTGTCCACGGATGAAGTGTCTACGTAATTGCTTGTGGTTCCGCCAACACATTGGCTGACACTATTGGAAGGGACGTCAGTAAGTGTGTTTGCGGATTCGTTAGCATACATTTTCACCAGCGACATCGGACGTGGAGCGACCACACAAACCAACCGACGAAGGGCGACGCGCCTCGACACTCGGTTATTTATAGCGAGCGCCGGCCTCAACCTGCGCATAAAGGTCGAGCGGCGCGCGGAGGGGAGAAGCGAGCGCAGCACGCGCTGTGTTGAGAGGAGGAAGGAATGAGGAGAAAGGGCGGAGGAGGAGAGGAGGCTACGAACGGCGACGGCGCATGACTAGCCCATAGTATAACATGCTCCGCATGTAAAAAAAAAATTCTTCGCATTTCGTTTTCTGCTTCCTCGCCGCCTCAGATATTTCGCACCCATGCTTCCTGCTCCCCAACTCCCACTCTGCCCTCTGCCTCGCTGACCTTGCCATCCCGTGTAGCCCTCGCCCCTCGTCTCTGCACTTGTAAACCTGCAGCAGGAACATTTCAATAAAAAGAAAGAAAAAAAGCCGTCCTTTCGTATTTTTTTTCCCCTCCACACCATTGCACGTTTTCCGAGAAGCAACGGGTTCATTCACTGTGTCGTCTGCTTGGGTACCGCTCCGGTGATCGCGATGGATTTCAGAACACGAGTTTGTAGTAGTGAGGTGTTGTTAATATAACACAAAACTAAATTAGCGCTCGTTATTCTGAAAAGTTCGGTATCCTGAAGTACGAAGTAGTGAAACAATTTTACATTGAAACTATTGGCAGTCGGCGTGGAATTTTTTAAAAGTTTGTTAATCTGAAAAGTTCCTTAAAGTGGCGTTCGTTCTACCAAGATTTTACTATAGATGTCAAGGGCCTGCATTTTTCAATTCCCCATGACTCATTGTTACCATGCATTGAAGAATATATAGACGAGTTGGGTACCTTTAAATTCCACACTTAGTCTAGCGTCAGCAAGTTTTTAGAGCTTCGTAGTTTTTACCTTCAGTTGACGTACATCCTATAGAGTGAAAAACCTAAACTTCAGAAAGCTGGTATTTCTATTAGTTCTTGCATCACTCCTATTATCAGTGACCTGTTTTTAGGCAAATTAGACAGATCCATTTGGAAGTTTTGATTGATTTTTGGGGTTTAACGTCCCAAAACCACCATATGATTATGAGAGACGCCGTAGTGGAGGGTTCCCTCACACTAATGTGACGCACATTCGCAGCTACCTGGATGAAGTTTTCATTTTCTGGACACGGATGTTGCATCATACAAGACTGACGCTCTTGCCGTTTTAGACCTGATGCGAAGTAATTTTAAACATTTTGAGCTTACCCATGGACTTTCTGAGAATCATGAAATTAGGTTTCTGGACGTTAAGCTATTTCTAAATAATGGCCGCTCTTGCTGGATGTATCAACTGTGCAGAAATAGGCCTGTTTTGACATTTCACTCTGCACATTTTAAATCAGTTAAGCGAGGTATTACAAAATCTTGCTTCATGAATGCTTTGCGAAAATCCTGTGTGCACAAGATTACTGAAAGCATTGGTGAGCAATCTTCAAAGCTGACGCCAGCTGGTTACCGCAACCATGCGCAAGTTTCTGTTGCTGAAGGCCTGCTGCGTGAACTTCATGCCAAAGAGAATGATAACATAGCCCAACCTACCACAGCTAGACACACTTTCGCTATAGTTCTGTATATGAACAAGATAGTACACAATCTTAAGAAAGTGGCGCAGCGAGTTGATGGGAATCTGGTCGTTACATCTCCTCAAAAAAAAAAAAAAGTGAGTCGTCTGTGTAAACTGTTCATGCCACCGTCCAAAACCACCCTCGGTTGCACTACCAAATACACAAATAAATTTAGAGATTGTATTTGTAATGTGGTGTATCAACTACTGCTATCATGCGGAAGATACTAGGTCGGCAAAACAGGTTGTTCTATAAATGAGAGACTGAAGGAACATCTATACATTGTGGATCAGTATGAAGAAAGATGGCAACCACACTGCAGCACGTGTGGCTGCAGGCCTAGCGTTTTCAGATTGTGCTACTGTTGCAACATGCAGGAATAGCACCACATGTAAGATTATTAAGGCAGCAATGATATGTTCATTAAAAGTTGCTTGTGTTAGCACCCTTTCTGTCACGCTCAGCAATAAAGAAAAGTTGTTCCTTTGCTTGGCAGGTATGATGTACTTATGCAGTATCATTGTGTTTCGCGCATGACTGGTGCAACTGATGACTGTATAAAAGCGAAAACTTCTGCAAGAAATAAATTGTTGGTAGTTCAGCGCTCTGTCTTGTCTCTTCTATCCCCTCTTGTCGTTTGCGCGGTTGAGCACACTTTATCATGTTATACCAACATGCCCAATCCTACTATCTCTTAATGTAGCCACACATAAATACTAGATTCCTCTATAGAATTTTACAGTATTCGCCACACTCCTTTCTCGAACTTTTTTATCGCCCCTTATACGTATATGCACTACCTTGCCCAAACCGCACCGATTGAATAAGAATCATCAAGAACCTTCCGTTGCGATTGCGCACACAACGCCCGTATTACAGATTCTTATGACCTTACTAGCGATAATGCTGAAATATTGAATGGCACATGTATATATGCCGGCACTCATCACTACTTGTCATTTAATCGACGGCCGACACTTTATTCGCCAATATCAGTGTACAGAGCACACTGCTTGCTGTAGTTTCTATTTCCCACCTACAAGTTCGACCAAATAATGAGTTTCATTTCAGACACACTGTACATGCCTCTATCAAAATCAATACGATGTGACAGTCTCTATAGGTGTAGGTGTGATGGCACGAGTAATGGGACAGCACTGAACAGACCTGAAAGTTTCAACATCCTTGACAGACATGCGTGCGACTTCTGGATCTTCAATGTAGAACTTCTTTACAATTGGTGGAAGGGCTGCAAAAGATATGAGAAGAAAGTTTAATTGAGCTGTGTTCAGATAAAAATGTCGGTGCATGTCCGCCATTAACATGCAACTGAACTGGCCATGTGAGAATCAGGAGTGCCTACGCAGTATGCCTCATCTAGCATGTTGCCATCCTTCTAAGTAACTTTATCACTGGGAACCCGCATGGGAGTGGCAGCTTGACGACAAATGCTATGGCACCAGACTGTCTACCATATAAGTCATGCTTCTCCCTCCCAGCTACATACAGTGACACACTGCCTTTACAATCCCCTGAAAGCTTAATAATATCTAGAGCTTAACATCCCAAAACCACCATACGATTATGAAATACCGCATAGTGGAGGGCTCCCGAAACTTCGACCACCTGGGGTTCTTTAACATGCACTAAAATCTGAGCACATGAGAATTTTCGCCTCCATCCAAAATGCATCCCGCGACCTCGAGAGCCTTAGCCACCTCTGTGGGGCTCCCTTGAAAGCTTCATTGAACAGGATCGAACATATTGTAGCAATGCTGAGGCAGACAGGCTGAAAAAACAAGTGTCTTTATTAGGGCGAACTTGGGCTCACGAATATAACGACTATGGCCGTCGAAGCCCGAGTAGCCAAGTTGCACAGATCCAACTGTCTTCCTCTTCCTCGCAGCTTGAGCGCACGAACGCGTGGCGCATGCCAGCCGGGTCTTGCCTTGTGCTCGTGCCATGACAATTGCGCCGGCCTACTTGAACGTGGCCAACCTGTCATGGCATTAACCCCCTCCTCAGACGCATCGTCCCGATGCTTGATACAGTGAAGATACAGGCACACTCTCACTCGTTTTCCGACAATCTCTGATGATAAGGCTTTATGCGGACTACGTGTACCACTTCCATGGGATTGCGGCATCTTGAGCTGTCGTGTCCAGCGGATCTGACTTCATAAGCGACGTCACTGATACGGTGAAGTACTTCATAAGGGCTAAAGTATCGGCAAAGAAGCTTTTCAGAGAGTCCACGGCGGCCCACTGGAATCCATATCCACACTTTGTCACCGGGATGATAAAGTGCGTCACTGTGTCGCTTGTCGTACCGGCTAGAATTGGCACGCTGTTGGCGGCGTATTTGGTATCTCGCCGTTTGTCGTGCTTCAACTCTTTACAAGAAGTCATCCAAGTCATGTGGATAGCTGCTTTCGTCCCGTAGTGGTAACATGGCAACCAGTGGGGTGGTCACTTCTTCGGCCGAATACTAGTTTGAAAGGGGCAATGCAGGTTGTTTCTTGAAGGGCTGTATTATATGCGAATGTTATGTAGGGTGATATATCATCCCACTGTTTATGTTCAACATCGACATACATTGGCATGTCGGTCAGAGTTCTGTTGAGGCGTTCAGTTAAGCCATTTAACTGAGAATGATACGCCGTTGTTCTTCTGTGATCGGTATTTGTCATGCGCATCAGGCATTGCATTAGGTCTGCAGTAAATGCGGTGCCCCGATCCGTAATAACGACGATGGGCGCATTATGTGTGAGCACTATGTTGTTCACAAAAAACTTGGCGACTTCGGCAGCTGTCGCACTGTACAGAGAGTCAGTCTCAGCATAACGGGTCAGATAGTCTGTGGCTACGACTATCCATTTCTTGCCTGCACACGATGTCGGGAAAGGTCCTAGGAAGTCTATGCCGACTTGTCGGAATGGGGCATCCGGAGGATCCTAGTGGCTGGAGAAGGCCGGCTGGTTTTATGGGTGGAGTTTTGTGCCATTGACATTGACCACAAGTTTTCACATAGTGCTGCACTGATGCGAGCAACTTAGCCCAATAGTAATCCAGGACGAATCCTGGCGAATGTTCGACTCACACCCATGTGTCCAGATGTTGGCTCGTCGTGGCATGCATGCAGAATTTCCTCTCGCATGGCTGTGGGTACGACTAGTAAAAACGTTTCGCCATTAGGGTCGAAGTTCCTTCTATAAAGGACACTTCCTCAAAGGCAGAACAAGGAGAGCACTCTGGAGAATATACGAGGGACTTGTTCATCGAGACCCTGCAGGTGTTGTATAAGCGCCAAAAATCCGGGTCATTTCGTTGTTGTTGAGCGATTTCGGATGCGTCGAACGGGAAGTCTTCCTTTTCAGGTACACTTGGATCGACGGGGGAGTGGAACAGGCAGTCAGTCGGCGTCGCCGTGTTTCTTTAAAGATTTCTATACGACAGTAATGTCATACTCCTGCTGCCTAAGGCTCCATCTTGCTAGACGACCTGACGGATCCTTGAGATTCGCCAGCCAGCATAGAGCATGGTGGTCACTGATAGCTCTGAACGGTCTACCATAAAGGTAGGGTCGAAACTTGTTTATTGCCCAGATGACTACGAGGCACTCTTTTTCAGTTGCAGAGTAGTTTGCCTCAGCTTTTGAGAGTTTGCGGCTGGCATAGGCTAGCACTTTCTCTTGAACATTTTGCCACTGAACCAGGATGGCGCCGAGGCGGACATTGCTGGCATCGGTATGGACTTCGGTGTCGACTGTCTCATCAAAATGGGCAAGTATTGGTGAACCCTGTAGCCATTTTCTTAATTCGTCAAAAGCTTTCTGTTGTTCAATTTCCCATATGAAGGGCATGTCGTCTTTTGTTAGTTTTGTAAAAGGTTCCGCAATCTTTGAGAAGTTTTCCACAAATCCCCTATAGTAGGCACATAAACCCAAAAATCAACGCACTGACTTTTTGTCCCTGGGTGTAGAAGATCTCTGAACAGCGGCTGTCTTTTTGGCATCCGGACGAACGCCATCAGGACTAATGACATGTCCAAAGAATCGCAGCTCTTCGAAGCCAAAGTGGCATTTTTCAGGTTTGACTGTCAGGTTTGCTGACCGGATGGCTTCCAATCCTCTGCGTAGTCACTCTAGATGTTGGTCAAACGTTGCAGAGAATACCCCCACGTCATCCAAATACACTAGACATGACTGCCATTTCATTCCCACGAGGACAGTGTCCATCATTCGCTGGAATGCCGATACAGAGGCCAAATGGAAGCGCTTCGAATTCATAGAGGCCATCTGGTGTTCCGAATGCCGTTTTTCATGGTCCCGCTCGTCGACCTCTATTTGCCAATATCCACTATTCAGATCCAAGCAGGAGAAAAACTTTGCGGATCACAGCCGATCTAGTGTATCGTCGATACGTGGCAAGGGGTAGAGATCTCGTTTAGTTACACTGTTCAGTTTTCGGTAGTCGACACAGAATCTATGTGTGTTGTCTTTCTTCTTAACGAGCATACGGGGGACACCTATGGACTATTCGAAGGATGAATGACATCAACCGAAAGCATCTCCTCCACTTGCTTCTTGATAATTTCCCGTTCTTTCTGTGACACTCCATATGGATGCTTGCATATTGGCCTCGTGTCCTCTTGCGTTATAATCTGTGTTTCATAATTGACGCACGCTGGACCTTCGAGGCACTTGAGAAGTAATCGGAGAATTTTTTACCAAGGCATAAATCTGTTTCTTTTGACTGTTTGGAAGGCTCTGGTTGACGGTCACGGATGTGTCGATGTTGCAGGCCACTGGTCGAGTGGTTGACGTCGTTAAGCTGCATAGTTCGGCCGCCATACAGAAGTCGTGTAAATAGGCAATAGCCGTGCCTTGAGCGATGTGTTGAAGTTCATTGGAGAAATTTGTGAGTAGGACATCTGCACAGGCCATTCTTCAAGTGAACAAGACCCCGAGCTACGCAAACATCTTTGTTCAAAAACAGCCCTACATTTGTATCCGCTATGCCTTCGCAGCTGTGCAATGTGTCATTATATACGAACACCATTATACTGCAGCAGTGGCGGCACAGTTATGTCATCATGAACAACGCGTAGAGAAGTTAGGCGTCGTTCCTCAGATTCCTCCACAGGTATAGCTCGTTCAGTCAAAAACGACACGCTGGACCTATGCAGGTTAATTACGGTGCCATTAACTCGTAAGAAATCTATTCCTATAATGAGTTCCCTTGAACATTCTGGTAGCACAATGAAATCGGCAACGTAAATAAAGCCCCGAATTTCAAGTCTTGCAGTGCCTCTTCCGAGGGGGGTAATAATGTGACCGCCTGCAGTGCGTATCTGCGATCCACTCCACTGTGTCACAACTTCGTTTTGCTTCTTCACTACCTTGTGACTTATCACCGAATAATCAGCACCGGTGTCGACTAAGCCATTCAGCTCCTATCCTTCCATTCTTGACCGCAAATCTGAAGTAACGCTTTCGTTGCTGGACTCATTTACCAGGAAATACACAGTCGTCGCCCTCAAATCATATTTGAGGATCTTCGTGACTGACGTTATCAGTGGCCTCACCTCCACAGGTCGCTTGCTTCAGTTTTCCGGGAGAGGACTAGGAGAACGATGACCAGGCTGCCTTGAAGGTGCACGTGGGCTGAATGACCGGTAGCGCATAGGCGATGGAGACCGTGACCGATGTTGGCGCAGAAGTGGCGAGTTCTGGCACGTGGAAAAGTACTCCTCAATCTCCGCTGGTCGTTCGCCGTTTGGTGGGCACGGTGCATACAATGGGAAGCCTCTTAATCCAGCCTGTCGGTAAGGGCAGAATCTGTACAGCTGACCCGCTTCGCTACAATGAAAACACCGAGACCTGCGCTCATGATCACGCAAGACGTCACTTTTCCTGGGCCTATGCTCCACTTAGCGATGTATGCTACGTGCTCCTGGGGACCGATAGATAGCCGTTGGTTCACGTGGATGAGGTGCGCTGTGTGCTGCAGGTGGGAGAGGAGTCGTCGCCATCACAACTGCTGCATTGCTGTGTACCGTGGGTTGTCTGAGAACTTCAGAGTATGTTCGGACAGGTTGAACCGGCTGCAGCTCACGCTCTGGCTCTCGTATGACCTGCCTCAGTTCGTCTCAAACAACGTCTGTAGCAGAAATTGCAGTTGAAGTCTGGGGCATTTGCAGTCTGCTCAGTTCTTCTCTACTAACTGATCTTATGAGCTCTCGCAGGGCATCAACGTCGTTTCGCACGCCTCCAGAGAATACCTGTGCAGATGAGCAGTTTAGATTACGGTTGTACTGCCGAGCCCGCTGTTCCAGTGTTTTTTTGGATGGCCGTCAGCTTCCAAATAAAACTCAGCAACTGTGTTTCGGGGTTGTGGACGAAAACGGCGAACAGCTCTTGCTTCACTCCGCGCATTAGATGGCGCACCTTCTTATTCCCAGCCATGTTGTAATCCGCACGGCTTGAACAGATGGACCACGTCCTCAATGTACATAACAGCACTCTTGTTTGTGAGCTGGTTCCTCGATTGAAGAGCAGACTCCACATTTTCTTTCCGGTCCATGTTCGCGAACGTAGCCACCGCTTGTCGTCGAAATACCTCCCAAGGTAGACAACGAGGTTTCAGTGGTTCTCAAAACATGTCTTTGCGAAGTCTTCCAGGGTGAAGTATACGTGACGGAGCTTCTCTCTTTCGCCCCATCCATTCAAGCTCGCCACTTTCTCGAACAGGTCTAAACAATCTTCCACGTCCTCGTATGACTCACCGTTGAATACTGGCGGCTGGTGCGGTTGGCTGATGAACACTTGTGCCGGTGTTACCTGGCTAGTCATAGTGGTGACGTCCATCGTTTGAATTCCCCTTGGTGTGAAGTGAAGAGCACTGAACTCAGGTGAGTCACCTCGAAGACGGCGACTTGCCCTCTAGTGTACAGGAGTCACTTCCACGGGGTTGACTTGCTGGTCGTCGGGGCTACGCTGTCTTGAGCTTGTGGGGCTTCGATTCATTACCCAAAGCCTCCACCAGAAATGTAGCGATGCTGAGGCAGACAGGCTAAAAAAACAAGCGTCTTTATTAGGGCGAACTTGTGCCCACGAGTCTAATGATTATGGCCGTCGAAGTCCGAGTAGCCGAGTTGCGCAGATCCAACTGTCTTCTTCTTCCTCGTAGCCCGAGCGCACGAACGCGTAGCGCATGCCAGCTGGGTCTTGCCTAGTGCTCGTGCCACGATGATTGCGGCGGGCAACTTGAACGTGGCCAACCTGTCGCGGCAATATGTACTGATGATCGATATATACTGTAACGTAGAGAACATTGCCAACAAGTAGACAAGGACAGGCACAGACTATCAATACAAGGTTTATTTATCCCGTACCGCCACCAACAGGAAAAAGACATGTTAGCATTGTCACAAAAAAACAAAATTTGTACACCAATTTGTGGTACGTGATAAATAAATCTTCAGTTGATAGTCTGCCCTTGTCTTTGTCTGCTTCTCATCTGTGTTATCCACCATACATCAATTATCAATCACCAAGTGGCCAGATATGTACCCAAACAAAGAACATCACACCTTGCACATTTGCACCATTCCAGGTGCAACACCAGGCACTGCCACATGGTATCTATTCACCAACACTTCATAACTGAAAATTGAAGGATGACGGATAAAAGTTTACCCCCTAATGCGATTGCAAAATGTCTCAGCAAGTTCCCATGTGGTCCAATCACGGTGGTTAAATGGAGCGACCATATCAGAAAAGCGCACCTCGCAATCACACTGCACCCAATGCATACCTAAATGTGTCATCGACCTTCCTTTAAGAGATGAAAGTGCTCCCCTAAGCATACGTTTAGGCAGTGACCAAGCCTGGCCTACATACACCTGTCGACAAGTTAACGGAATACTTTATACAAGGTTCGACATAGATAACCAAGTCAACTTTGTGGCTAACATTGCAAGTACGAATGCCCATCCGGCCTCCAGTGTCCAGCATATTTGCAACTATGAACCCTGTTTATGTTTGGCTGTGAATCAACACACAGCCTGTAACTCCCTCTCTTGTACTTTCTTTGTCCCAATCACAGTTGAAATTTCTGTGATGTCTATGTACAAACAAACTCGTCTTTCGATCTTCCATCATTGAGAAGCACCCTCCTTGCAAGACGTTTGTAACAGCCCTCAAGCCTCCTTCTCGGCACGAGCACTGATAGTTGGCACTAGGTTCCTGCTGCTCACAAGCCGGCAATCAGTTAGCTTTGCACTGCCTTTGAAAGCTGTAATTAGCGACAGCCATAAGGTTGAAAGACTGAGCATTCGAAGTAGCAGGGGTACTTGCTCAGAATATTGCAGAGAGCTTGTACAGGTTGAAGAAGTCGAGCAAGCTGGCATGGTTTGCGTGGCTAAGGGAGAAGAAGGTCGCATCCGCAGCTCTTTGTACTGTCGGCAAGAAGCAGCAAGCGTTCAGTTCCGGAGGCCATGACACTGGCACCCCGTGGCCTGGCCGCTGACCTCAATGACGTTCAGGTGAGGCTCCTCAGAAGTGCTACAGCCTTCTCCGGCAGGTCCAGATGCATCTACAGCAATCCTTTTCAAACGTTAGCCAGCATCCATGACTGGAGGGCCATGTAAGCAGTGAAACGCTTCACCGAGCAAAGCAGCTGACGACAATGTTAGGGCTCCAGTGTCTACTTGTATCAGCACCTGCCTCCCCAGGCGACGATGGACTCATTGAGCTGCGGAGTGACCATCAGGACTGACAACACACTGGACTTTGGCAACGAACCAACTCACTCAGCTGCATCAATAAGGTCGGCCCAGATGAAGCTGAGGCAAGAATGATTAATACGTTTGAGTTAGGTCAGTGTGCGTAATGTTCCAGTTTCATTTTTGTGTATTTCTTAGCGTGCCATTTGTTTGTTTCTTCAATCAATGTTGTGTGCCAATGGCGACTTCTCATTTGTGCACATGGTGAAACTCTATTGTGGTAGCCAGTAGTGCCACAGACACACATACTCATTGATCGGGCGAGGATGCGCGCCAAACAAAGCGCAGCACAACCACCATGGCTATTGGAAAGGCACAAATAGAAGTACACAAAGTCTCCTAGAGTGCGTGAAAAAAAAGAAAAAGTAAGCAGTGTCAAGAAATAAGATTAAACTACCAGGATAACAAACCTAAAAAAAATGAAGATGCTATCATTTGGTGCAACCACATCACTGCGTTGCACAAAACTTCATTCCTTCTTGGAGGGGATACGAATGGCTTGCTCAGTGTGCCATATAGTGCAGCCTAGACGATAATTTGGGCATGATCCACCCCATAGTCACAGTGTCTCTAAGCGAAATTGGTGGAACATACCAGGAGATGCACATTGGTATTTGATGCTTACTGCACACAACAATTTGGTGAGCGGTTATGCCTCGTTTCCAGCATCTACATATTGATGACATTTTACCATAATATGATCGGCTCAGGAAATGAGAAAAGAATTAGCCATAAAATCTTTGACACAACAGAGGCTTGCCATTTTTAGAAATGTTGCCACAAGCTTGCTCCAGTTCAGACTGTAGTTTCTTATTCAGACCTTGGGACAAGCCGGTGTTAGACTGCTACATCCAGACAGTGTGTACTCACAGGCCCACCGCTCTTCCCGCTGTTGATCACTTTCTGCAATTAGCTTTGCCCAGTCAATGAAAGGCAGCTGATCCTCTTTGTTCGGCCCCTCTTCTCTCTTGCTAAAGCGTGCTGAACAAAAGAGAACATCAATCAGTCTCACATAGGAATGCATTTGTTAACAGCACCACAAAGCATTGTATAGATCAAGGAAGTACTGCTACTAATGGCTTAAATGACCCCTAACAGCAAAAGATTTGTTTGCGAGTTTTTTACAGTAATTTGTAGCTTTTGTGTCTGGTAATGCCTAAATTATATTGTAAATGCTCTAACGCATCACAGAATAAATGCTAGCAGCATTATTTCTAAACACGCCAGTTCCAAACGTCTACCTAAATACCATAACAAACTAGTGCCCCGAAGCAGAGCAGCACCTAAGACTACGTGCCCTCAAGTTGCGATGACACTGAAACACATCGTCTTAAAATAGGAGGACCCGTGCGCGGTGAAGAATGAAACGGTGTAAGTGCGTTTAGCGTGCTTGCCTCAGAAAAAAAAGAAAAGCATTCCTGGAGTAAGCAGCCTGAACCACCTCGAGAGCAGCCCAACAACAGAGCAAGAGGAGTGATGAACAATAGTCTTGATTAGAGAAGTTTTGTGGCACAAGGGCTATGGGTGGCCAGAGAGCGCCATGTCGTAGATGCGATGTAAGCAACAGCCAATGATTGCAATGACAGCGTGTATAAAGGCTGTATAAAGGCCTAAGATCAAGCGCTATAAAAAAATGTAAAATGTGTGTATTAACTATAAAATTATGACCGTGATACACGATTTGACGTATGGATGTGAAATTAATTACAAGTCAACATGGTATCTACAAGAAGAATGGCGATTTGGGCTAGTTGGTTTGAATTCATAGTAATAAGGGCTGCAGCGCGAGCACGAATGTGCTAGAAGAAACAGAGGAAAGTCGAGGCACGGAAGGCAAAGAGGACAACACGAGCGCTGACTACCAACTGAATTTTATTATTCGCAGCACACATGATAATATATACAACAGGCAACCTTTGAACAGCACACGTGAGCAACGTGACATATTCTGGGGAATGTTCTGATAAAAAGAAGGTACAAAAATGGCTAACCCTTATCTAAAAGCGCGAACTCTTTGTCATGCAAGGCCACTGAAGGTTGGCTCACGCATCCATCACCATTTTTTCTAATAAAATACGCTTCAGCTATTTCCCGAGTTAACTTGTCCATGTGGCGTGCCAGCACACTCACGCCCGGAAATCGAGGCTGGCACCCGCAGCTTTTGCAGTGCAAAACAAGGTTTGAACTGATTCCTTTGCATATATCATTCATATGTTCTCCTAACCTTTTATTAATGCACCGCCCAGTTTGGCCTATATAACAACGACCGCACGTTAAAGGAAGCATGTGAACAACACCAACTGCACAATCTACAAACTTATTTATGTGTTTTATGGCGCATGTCCAACTTTTTTTGGTGATTCCACTAAGTCGCTCATCCGTCATTCTGCAAATCTGGCTTACTTTGCACGGAGCTGATAAAACTACATCCACACCATATCTCGAGCCTACCTTCTTCAAACCATGAGATATATTGTGGAAGTAAGGGATGACTGCAACTCTTTTTCGCTTTTTATTTCCTCCTGCATTTTCTTGTTTTTGTTTGATTTTTTGCAACAAGGCTTCGCACACTGAAGAAATTACAGATTTTGGAAATCCTGCTGACAGAAGTCTGGTAATTTGCATTGTTACACTATCAGTCGTCTTGTGTAGGCATGACTTAAATAAGCCAGCACTTACAGCCGACGAAGCAATAGCTCTCTTAACCAGTTTTGTGTGGCAGGAGGCATAGTTTAACAAGGGTTTAACACTTCGCGGCTGGTATTCCCAGCATACGTGATTTGGAAACAATGTAATATTAATATCTAAGTACCTCAGTGATCCCTGTTGGGGAACTTCGCAAGTGAAGTCTAGCCCACCTCCATGTGTTTTAAAAGCACTCAATACAAGTTCAGCCGGGTTTTTTTCTGTTAGTTACGGAAGGCAGCAGAAAAATTAAATAGTCGTCTACATATCTGAAAGCGGTTTGCACCAAATCCACAAGTTTTTCACTGAGGATAGTGTCAATCTTGGCAAGAAATATGTCACTCGGAACCGGGGCGACCCTTGACCCAATGCAAACTCCCTTACGTTGTCTATAAAGAGACCCTCCCCCCGACACAAAAGTGGAGTTCAAGTAGAAAAGCAAAAGTTCCATGAAAGAATTAACACTGACGCCACAATCATTAATGAACAAATCTTCATGACTATCCTTGGTTATACAATCTCTAACATAATTTAACAATGTGCTCTGAGGAATCGAGTAATATAAATCTACAACATCGATACTTAAAACAGGGCAAATTCATACTCGATACTTAAAATTCGATTCATACATCGATACTTAAAACAGGGCAAATTTGCTAGGCTAAACCTAGCAAATTCACAGCCTCGAGGCGAGCTATAGCATCTTTTTTGATATTGGAACTTTTTGCTGTAACTTGTACAAAGTGTTTCACAACCGCCTGTGACGCTTTTTGCAAAAAGACATCATTGTGTAGAATAACGAAAACAACTTCCTTATCCGCTTGAAGAACACGCAAATATTTGCGGACCGAATATTTGCGTGTTCCGGAACGAATATCAATCAGAGTCAAGTTGAGTCTTAAGCTTGAATTCTCCCTTGCCAAGATGGCTTCTTGGTAGCTGCTCTCGTGCGCTCTCGCATTAATAGAACATTCTTACGTTCATATGCCTCCCTTGGAGCTACGACGAAGTGGTACCGCCTCACCGTCATCATTTTCAGCGTGCGTCCGCTTGACGATCCACTCATCTGCATTGCCAGTGTCTCGGTCCTTGTCTCCATTTTCGGCCTCGCTAGGCCCCGCCCATCAAGGACTCCCCCGCTGACGCGGCTACTCGGCTGACTGGCGTGGGCTTCTCCCTCCGTACTGCAATGTGAGAAAGCTGCAAGCCCACCAGGAACTGCTGGGCAGGACGCGGCAAGTTCGAGCAGACTCCCTCGGGACCATCTTCGAGGTCGATGGCCACTTCCAGAGCTCTTCATGCCGGCATCCTCAGAACCGGGCGGTCATGCTGGTCCCGTCGCAGTAGTGACGCTCGTTTCCCACATCTTCGCAGCTCGGCGTCCCAACACACAATGCCAGCTCATTGTCTGGAATTTTTCGTCTCAGCTTGAATCGCCTGCTACGAGCATTTCTCCACCCAATCATTTGCGTCTACGTGGCTGGTGCGCGTGCACTCGGGTGACTCTCCTCTCCTCATGCACCGCCGCCGCGCCTCCACGTTTGGCATGCGTTTGGTGCCTTTCCTTTACTCATGACAACCTCCCTAAAGGGAATTGTGAGGAAATTGAAATGCATTGCGTATTGTCCTTAACGGCGTTTCGCACGTGATAACTCAGCGTTACAAGAATGTTTTTTTTCTTGCACCATGCAGCCAATAGCGCCAATGGGCGCACGTGGCGCTTTTCTGTTGCGAGAAATGCGGTATGCGTTTCAAGCTCTAGTAGCTAGCATGCACAATTAAAAAATACTACAAAGTGAACAAAACAAATAGTGTTCTCGGCTCAGCATTCGCATTTCACAGCGGGATATTGAGAACACATTTCCGCATGTTCTTGAAGAGGCACAGAGCCAGTGAATGGTCGAGAGTGAGGCACGAGCGGACGAGAAAGTGGGGCGCAGGGAGGAGAGAGAGCAAACGGTGAGAGAAGGAACGGCGAAGCACTGCACCTGTCATAGTACCTGACGGCGATGTCAGCGTCATATCAACACAAACACTACACACATGCTGGCAACACAAACGCTACAAACACGTTTCAAATGCACAGCATTGACGCGGTGGCAAATCACGTTCAAGTCAAGGAGGGGGGGGAGGGGCCTCCGGTTGCTAAGGGCGAGGATAAGCGTGGTGCGCCCACAGCTTTTGCTGACCGCTGCCAACGCCGCAGCACGACATGGTGGGGGCTCCGGTTGCTAGGCATGCGTGCGCCCACAGTCGTTGCAGGGCGATGGACAAATCCGAGGGACGCCTGACACAGCCTGACTAAAAAATGCATTTGCATTTAAAATGCGAACAATGACTGATATTTAAAAATTGCTTCCTTGTCAAAGAACATCCTACGATTAAGTGGAATGTATTCACAGTTAGCTTACAGAAATGCTGTTTTTTTTTAATAATAGAGTCTGATTGACTGCATTGGATGAGGATGTGTTTGACAGTGAGTGATTCACCACATTTATCACAGAAAGGTGGATTGCCACCACACAGAAAGTATGAATGTGTGCTGTGTGTATGTCCCGTTCTTAGCCTTGTAGGTGTAAGCTCTTTGTGGCATGATTTTGATACTGGCGGCCAATTACCAAGGAAGTGCTTGATGTCATGTAGTTTATTTTCTGTGTGACTGTCCCATGTGCTCTTCCAATAAGCTCTGAGCTTTTAGTGAAGACATGGCTTTCAGTCAAGAGCTCGGATAGCTACGGATGTATTGGCAGTGCTTTTGTGAACAGATGCGCCCAGCTGGTTCGCCATCACGTTACGTTGGATCTTGCGATGTCCTGGCACCCAGCACACTAGAACAAGCTGTTCGGACTTGTAGTCAGTGCATAATAGTGAATAAAAAGAGACAAGGAAAGGATTTTTGTGTTTTTTTTAAGAGTTTTCAGAGCTTTTACAACACTTAGGAAATCTGTGTAAATTGCTGCCTTTCGCGGCTTTAATTCTTTAATATGTTTAACAGCCCCAAGTATCGCAAAAGCTTCTGCGGTGAAGATGCTTGTGTCAAGAAACAGAGCGCCGCCATCCCAAAAGGATGAACCAACCACTGCGTACGACACAGAACTGTAAGACTGAGGCATCAGTCTAGAATTCAGGACAAGTGTATTTGTGTTGCAGTTCCATGAAGTATGTGTGGATGTGTACAATGGGCGCGTGCTTTGAAACACATCAGAATGGAGACCCCTTTTTCTTGAAAATAAAACGGACGTGCTTTTTTGCGCGTGAAGGATGAACCCATTCTCGTCTGTTCATTTGGTAACCCT